CAAGATCGGAGCAGAACAAAATTAATGTGGGCTACCATGCTGCCTCCATAAACTGAAAAGTATTCACAGGCACGGTCCTGAAATGTAATCTAAATTAATAAGTAACTGGAGTAGTGATGGCCCGAAGTAACCTGATGCCACTGTTACGAATGGCTCTGGCCATGCTTATTTGATTATGCCCCCACTTTTAACCCTTTTTTATCTCCTGGTTTGCCGCCTTCTCCCTCTGTTTTGGCCATTCCCATACCAAAGCAGAAAGGACGAAGGGCCACCTGAGAGGAAATACTTCCAACTGGAGGCTGCTGATGGATGAGCTGTAGGGTTGCAAGACAGGGTCAGATTCCACATGTCCATCAACTGCCCCTCTCGGATCATGTACAGAAAGCATGAACACTTTCTACCACCTCTTAAGGTGCTGACAGATGGGCTCTGGCCAGCTTTGCTGCAGCACATTAAGGAGATATTGCTCTTTACCACTGGCTCCATGCCCCAGCAGGAGCTTTTGCCTGCATCCAGGTTGCTCGCGAAGTGCCTGAGGCTGCACCGCAGGTGGGGCTGGATTTAAAGCGAAGGCACTGGGCTGTGAGCTCCTGCAACTGTGGCACAGGCACATCTTCCCCTGCATGTGTGCTGCTGCAAAGCATTAGCCCTCAGCAGTCAGGCAGCGTTAGCTTAGCGTGGTAAATTGCTCCAAGGCAAGTAGAGCCCTCCAGACCTTGTCCCATCAGCCCTGAAAAGCATGTCACTGCTTCCTGCGGACGATCTTAGCTCTGTACTCGATGGACTTACGAGACTGGATGTGGTCCTGTGACCTTTATCAGCACAAGTTTTTTGCTGAAGTCAACTAGTACTTCTCAGGTAGGAAAGGACTGCTTGTGTGGAGTAAAGGAAGGGAACTGGGGCAGCAGAGATTTCTGCTGACTTTCTTTGTTACGAGATATTTTCCACAACTTATTCTTGTTGGCGTTAAAACTATAGACGGATTGAAACAGTGCAATGAGAGCTGAATCAGTGACCTATTTCCCCCATTTTGTCAAAGGCGAGATACACATCAAATATTACGCAACAATTGGAAGATCTCCCACTGTCTGCAGCCAGCTTCCTGTTGTGTTACACATCATGATTTGTTGTTAAATTCAGATTTTCAGGCCTGGTAAACAAAGGAGGATTGCTGAATGACCCAAGTGTACGCTGCTGCTAACCTCCACACACATCTGCAGCAGGGTTGTGATTTCCCCAAACATTAAATTGATCTCTAAACTGGCCTCCTGTGTACTCCAAGAATGAACAGGCAGGTGCGTGGGAAGGTTATGAGATAAGTTCCTGAGCTGTCCTGAATGTCTTGGGATGACCTCTTCGCAAGGTCTGCAACCACACTGCCATTCCTCTCCAGCAGTGCCAGAGCTTATTGGATGAAGGGAGTCTACATGGAGCAGATGAAACCTTGTGTGCTGTACGAAAGAATATGCTGGGAGAAGAAAAGCACGTAGGGTCAGGCCTGCTCCAAGAAGAAAGTGTATCAGCCGGGGTTTTTTTTTGCTAATGAAGTCAAAAGCATTTGAGAAGTGATTACCAGTACACAGGACAGCCTTCCTATGCCATTTAGGTAGCTGCATATTCCCACCAAAGTCAATAAGAAGCCTGGCTGAATGCATCTTAAACACAATTTTAAACAGCAGACATGGATGCTGAGCAGCCTCCTAGCCCCAAGCCAACCAGGTACCCAGCTGACACGGGGTGCCCTTCTCTGGGGGGGAAATGTCCTGTGACATTGCAATCTGGAGTTGAAACAGCTAGACCTTCCTGAGGCCTTTGTACAATGGGCTTTGCAAGAGGCGACTATGGAAGGAATCTCTTCTGACTCCTCCAAACAACGACCACGCTTATAACAATGCAAGTAACAACATGTTACGGGTTACAAAATGTCCATTGCCTACCGCTTCTCGGAGACACAGTTTCTTTAGCTCTTCCAAGCGTTGGCGCAGTGTCTCTTCCAAAGCTTCTTGCCTGGATTTCAGTGCAGCCAGCATGTCTTTCTTGGCAGACTGAGAACTATCTGACTCTTGGGAACCTATCAATAAACAATGATTTCACTAGGCCAGCTGACAGCAGAATACACATCTGGAGTGCTTGTAATTTTACCAAAGCCTGGATGCAGTCCTTCCAAAAAGAAATCAGACTATGACATGAAGCAGGTGTTACCCAGTCATGTTTGTTTACAGCAAATTCTTAATGTTTAAGCTAACAGAGGGAGATCGGACAGTGGGGCACACATTATCCAGAAAAACAAAAGCAACAAAATTATTCATGTAAAGATCCTAGAAAAAACCAGACATACCGTTCCCATGAAAGTTCCCAATGGCAAGTAACAGTACAGTTTACAAAGCCCTGGAGATGCATTTTTGCGAAATTAAGCCTAGGAGAAACCATTTGACAATACAGCCTACTTCTTAAGAACTGCAATTATCCTAGTAGCCAACATTTAATTCAATCCACTTACAGTGCCTACTTTATGAAAAAATGTAATGGAACAAAATTACCTAGCAAGATTCCTGTAAAACACACCAAAACAACAATAACCCATAGGTCCTTCTGGGATAGTAGCTGTTTCTTGTGAAGATGTAGGTCAAGATATTTAAACTGGATGTCCAAATGGCTTGACTTTTCAAATGGCAATTACCCAGCAACTTCCACTGAACTAAGTCCATGCATTAAGTTGCTCAGATGTTGTCACAGCATTTGTAACTTCAGCTCTTTAGGGGAACTTATTGATAGGGTTCCTGGTTTTATTTTGGTTTCGGATGGTGCATCAATTGCTATCCAAGATCTAGCATGTCAAAGAAGGGGCAATATTGGTTGCATCCATTTTTGGGTCCCCAACTTGAGCAGCTGATTTTTCAGGATGTGCTTAGCATTCACCCTCTTTAATGGACATCTGAGCTCAGGGATGAGTTTATTGTGAAGTCACTACTTCCAACCGAACCCCTTGTTTGCCTAAGCCGAGTGCATCCTTTCATCACAGAGTAAGGACACAAAGGTTATGGCCATACTGTGAGACGAAAAGCAAGCTCAGGAACGGGTAAATGCCATCTCTACATGCTTTTCACTCATATTACTGGCTGCTGTTTAGCTACAGCTGTAGTTCAAAGCATCCACCTTAGGTTTATGGAAAGCTGAGTTCTGGTATCTGTGGTGGATTCAGTAGGAGCGTCCCATGTTTGTCCACAGATGACACGGACAGCTACAGCTCCACATACTCTAAAGCTCTGCCCACACACAGCTCTGGAGCTCAGCCTAAGTCTACATCCGATCCCTTTTTAGTAAACTCCATAGTGGGTCTTAAGCCAGGCTGAACGGACAGGGCTGCTGTGGCTAAGGGGTTGCTGTTGCCTCAACAGAAGTGTCTAAGTGATCTAAGTATCTGAGATGTCTTCCATGGGGTGGCAGATAGGATCCAGGACCCCGTGAGACCCCCACTCTTTTGGATCGGCAGTGGTATACTCTACCCACCTAAAATGGCACCAGACACCTACATTTAGACAGCTGGATTGTGCCCAGTGCTTTGTAGGGACTTCTTGTGGGGTACTGTAGGTTTATGCCTGCAGAAAAGCCTTTGACTCGGCAATGCTTTCAAGGGGGTTCCTCCTAGTTCTCAGTGGTTCCTCAGTGGTCTCAGCACCCGCTGTCCCATGGTGACTTTGGGGGGCTCCCCTGCCCCTCTAGTGCAATGGCACAGAGAAAGCAGACCTTTATTATCTGCAGGAGTCAGATACAACAGGATACTACATGGAGTTTTCTGTGCACCTGTAGGATGGGGGTGAGAGGGGTCTTCTAGATACATTTGCACCTTGGCCTCCAAGCGTACAGTGAAGACACTCAGCCCATTGAAAACGTTGCTGCCCTTTCACAGAGCTCTGAAAGGAACCTGGGAACAACTCTTTGTTTTGGCAGCAAAACAGAGTGGAATTTGTGCTTTCAGCTTCATCTTTCATTGCTACTATTCCAGCAGACCGTTAAAGCTAAACTGAAAGAGGATTGAGGCAATCCATGCCATGAAACAGTTCTGCATTGGCCCAGGGGGAGCAGAGAACCTCACAGATCTTTTCCACCACTATTTTCTGGAGTTTTCATACAGGAAGACAGCTGGCATTTATTCTGTGAAGCACCACCCCGCTTTGTTACACCTTTTATTGGGCTGTCCTGGAGCGCGGGAGGTGGAAAAAGGGCTCTCTAAAGGTCAGCCAGGTTGAGCATCATCAGATAAAGGAGGACAACCTCATGGTAAGATGTTTGTTTGTAGTCATCCTCATTTCATTTGAGTTTGCCCTCACAGAGCAACAAAACTCAATTCTGCAAACACATCTGTGCTGCAGGAACTTGACGGGATCTTCTAGAGGAGCCTTGTATTTGCACTGGCAGGGAAAGCCCTCTCTAGAATTTACTAATTCTTAATAGTAACCCTGGTGAGCAGTTACTAGCAAAAACTGAATTGCTGAATTTCTTCACTGAATTGCCAACAAACTGCTGAGTCCCGGTAAAAAGTTGCTCATGATTCCAGCAGATATTTCAACCCTTTTTTTTTTCTTTTAGGATAACTTTAATGACCCACGTTTTCCTTTCAACTGCTCTTCCCCTTTCCTTCCTCCCTCTGCTCCCTACCTCCACACCAGCCTCAGAGTTATTTTTAAAAGCTATTCATTTTTGCACTGCGGGTTGCCACAGCAGCTACATAGATGCTGAAACATTTAAAAGCATATGAATAGCCTAAACCCTGGCCAGACGCCTGAGCAGATTCCGGGTGTGCCGACAAGAAGGAAACGAACGGCTTCTGGCTGAGCTGGTACGGACCCAAATCAAGCAGAGACAGTTCACAGCATTTGCTCCAGCTGTGCTCACCCTGTGTGAGAACCATGCTGGTCTCAACCCTGATGCGGTCGGTGGCAACGTCCACTGAATGCACATTTTGCCATCTTTTTCACCCTTCCCAGAAAGCAAAGGAATTGGGGGAGATCTGGAAGAGCATTGTCACATCTGAGTTAAGCAATGGGATTACTGCTGAAACCAAAGTCAACCACTCCTCGGCACTAATGAACCAGTTCAAATTAACCTTTTCCAAGCGTGTCTTCGTACAACAAACTCTTCTAGCACAGCGAGGGTTCAAAGGCTAGGGGACAGGGTACTCAGTTCATAGCTTGTGATGCTGAATTTTTTTAGCTTGACCATACCTGAGTTGGATGCTCCCTTGGGCATACTGCAGGACTTACTTATTTCTTCAGATCTTCCTGAAATTTCTCCTGTTCTAGCTGGTTTTTTTGTTTGTTGGTTTTTTTTTTTTGGTTTTTTTTTTTTAATTTAAAAGCTGAACTATTTTGGAGTGTATTATTAGATTTTTATGGGTTGGATTCTCTCCTTGTTCTCACAGGTGAAAAGCAAATGGCAAGTTGATCAGTCAAGAGAATTACACCTGTGTGAGATGCTTGTAAAGGAGCAGAGAACAGTGCTTTGTATTGCTGGGGTGCCTACAGCTTCCACTAGAGACTCTTTATTTACATATATGTATTAATCCAGCCTCGAGCAAGGCTATGACCACAGACCCACTTCTAAACCCAGTGGCAATTGACCCAAAAATGTCAGAACAAATCAAAAAACCATAAAAACAACCAAAGAAATGATCAAAGACGAGCACAAACCCAACCAATCAAGCAGATACTACCTTAAATCAGCCTTATTAAATATGATGCTCACTGAGTCACGGCTGCCCACTGCCTTCCAAAGGCGATCATCAACAGAGAAAAATCAGTCCTGAAAGATCAGTCCCAACATGAGAGATTCCTACTGCGACAGAAATGGTTGACTGGGAGGCTTTCTCAGGTATTTTATCCCCCACAATTAGGGCTAATTCCTAATGCAGTAAACCAGAGAAATGTTGCTGAAATATGTAATTTCCCTGTATAGCTTTTGAACCTTTCTGTGAAAATTATTATTCAGCCTCCTTCCCATTTTCTGTGCAAAGATTTACCAAACTCTGCATTTTGACACACACTTCTGCAGAACCATTTGATGTTCCTAAAAGAAAAAGGGTTGTGAAAACACAGTGGGTAGCAAGCACAGGGCCATCTCATTGGTGAGCACCAGGAACCTGCTGAATTGGGGCCTGTTTTTATAGCTGATGCTGCTGGTTTAATTTCAAAGCCAAGGAAATCGTACATGCCCTTTCCTTCTTAGCATACAGGATGGGACGCAGGTCCTGGTGACCTGAACATCCACTTAATATCCTATTACCGTGTGGATACGCTACTCATCTTCTGATACCTACTTGGCCTCTCTGGGCAATTTCTCCATCCACTGACATTCAGGAGAACATGAGCTGTGAAACGGGGGGAGAACATGGTCCTCCCTGCCCAACTCACTCCTCCAGCAGAATTCATGGCTGAACTTCCTTACCAGTGCTAACAGGCTCATTTCTGATCGCTCCAATACCGGTGATGTCAGGACAGATGGGCACAGGAAGCGAGTGAGTCACACCCCCAAAGGATCTGACCAAGGCAATGTGCTGTGCCTGTGCAGATCTGCAGCGGCTCCTGGCTACCAGGCTTTGTTTTAAAGCTTGCCAAAGAGATGAGACCAGCTATGTGAGCCACCGTTTTGAAGAGGAAAGCCCTACCAGTGACTCACTGTTTGTCCCCATTTCCTCCACCTATTTAGCGGAGTGGAGTCATCTTGGAAAAGGGATAAATGAGAAAGACGAAAATAAGCAGGGAGTATAGATGGGATGCTGAAGAGCAGAGGGAGCCAAGGCTTGGTGCTAGCATCTGAGAGGGGAAAGGAGATGCAACAAGGCAGCTGGTGAGGCAAGAGCATCCAGGCATCTCTTCTCTTCCTCATTTTGTGAGTCTCCTGCTCCAGGAAAAATACATCTAAATATGGCAAACCCTTCATGCTACATCCGGCTGCTGGCTCCAGCTCGCTGGCGTTTGGTTGAGGTCCCCGTGGAAGGCTGTCCCCCAAGCAGGGAGGGGAGGTCCCCCCACGCTTGCTCCGTGCCAGAGCCCAGGCTGACTCACTGCACCAGGATGTCAGCGCACAACAGCCAGCAAGCTCAGACAGCTGCTATCTCTTGT